CAGAAGTTTTACTGAACCATTACCATATCTAAAAGCTTCCAGTAGTCAGACAAAAGTTATATTTTGTGATCATTGTGAGATCTTATCCAGAACAATCAGAAATCTTAATGAGGAGAGAGAATATCTTGTTGAAGAAAGGGAGAGACTTCTCAAACAAATATTTACATTAAAGCAAGAAGTAAATAAATTTCAGCAAGAATCTTATGGTTTCCCGGCCACAAAAGCGGGTGAGATAGGTAATTGCTCCCTTCTGAGCAATAAAGAAGCTAGCATAGAAGCAGGTTCTATGCCTTCACAAGCTCAAACGATGCTTGTTGATGAAAAAAAAAATTCGTTAAAGGCTGTGGCTTTGCCAAAAAGCCAAGAAGAAAATACTCTAGAAATACTAAAAAGAAAAATAGAAGAGATATTAAATGCTCAAAAGGAGATCAGACAGCTAGTAGAACCTGAAAAAGATAAAGAAGAAGAAGATATATCTTCGCCAATTTCTGGAGACTCCATGGACACAATTGGAAGACAGAACATTGGGGACAAAGTCTAGGTGCCAGACCCTATAGCCCAGCCATCAAGACTCTATAGACTAGCTATCAGACTTTATGAAAGGTTGTCAGAAGAAAAGAAAATGTCGGCAGAATTGTGTCCATAGAATAATTCTGAATAGAAAACGTCGGCAGGTCATTTTGTAAATATTAAGTGTCGGCAGGGTTTTTCTTTTTTCTTTTTTTATAAAAAAAGCTTGTGAAGAAGTTTTGTCAGGAATCCTACTTTTATCTGAAGTGACGATGGGGCCCAATGAGTACCCGACTCAGAAAAGAAAGGATTACCTGTTGTATTTTAATTTCGTGTTTCAATTCCGAGTCTATAAATAGGTAGATGGTTTAATTGTAAACATATCGAGTGAAGTGTGCAAGTACTCTGAGTTATAAACCTCCATGTGTTCATCTTTGTAATCCTTCTCTGTTTATAATAAAAGTATTTTATTTGCTGAAAACATAAGCTCGCTTTTATTCTCTCAGTTCCTTTAGACATCTTTCGGGGATTTCCGAAAGGGAAATCCTTCTCCTTTCCTAAGGTATTACCATGTCTTCTTAAAAGATTTTATTTTACGCATATGTATATTCTTCCCCTTGTTAGTTTCTCTTATGTATATTTTATATTTTCTCATAATATAAAGCTGAGTTAGGTAGTCTTGCCCCGTCTGGTATGATTAACTGTTCACCAACCTAATGGAGCCAATAAGTGACCTACATAATTAATTAAAGTAAAGATTAAGGTCCATGGTAAATGTAGTTAGGATAAGTGAACAGTAACATAACCTTGCGGATAGGATGTAGAGCCTAGCTGGAAAAAAAAAACTGATAAAAAAAAAATTTGACAACTATTTAGGAGAGAAGAGAGAGGAGAGAGTATTTTTTTTTATACAAGTTCAATCTCTCGATAAAAGGAGCGCCATGGGGGCAGAACCACTACCAATTTTTTCCCTCTTCTCATATGCACCGTCGTTCACGACCGTAGCCGTCACCAGGCCAACGACAACTTCATCGTATCTACGCATCTTGGATTGCTGCTGCGGTTTCTTGGCATAGTCTTCAGTTGCGGTTTCTTGATTGGGGAAGTTGACAACGGGGCCACGGCTGACATGGATGTCGCCAGTGGTCAGTGGCGGACTAACACTAGCGCCTATGTCTGCACATGCAGACACAAAACTTTGAGAATTTTTTTTTAAAGGGGTGGGTGATTTAGATAAGTAAAAAAAAAGATTCAAGAAGATTGAAAAAAAAAAGTAAACATAGGCCCAATGATGGTAGTTAAAATTGGGATTTTACCTAAAATTAGAAGGAGGATAAAAAATCATAAAATCGTAAAAGTGTTTGAAATTTTGATGAAATCGTTTTGATTAAAAAAAAATCGTAAAATCATAAAATCACAGATTTAAATCGGGATTTTAACTAACATAGGCCTAACCTAACCAATCCCTATAACTAAAAGCTTAAAGCTTAAACCCTACCACATTGCTTTGTCTCTTCTTCTTTTTTTGAAACATAAACCTTATTAGCTCCAAACTTAATAGACATCGATGATTCCTGAAATTCAATCTTCATCAAGTGGAGGAGAATCGTACGAGATTTTTCACGTTTTTTTTGTGAAGTAAAAGTGGTCAACTTTAGATCAAATAGACATCAACAGAAGTGGATTTTTGATCATTATTTTTTGTAAGTTAAGTTAAAGTTTTCTTTTGTTGTTTATATATTTTTTAATACATTTAAAATTTTCTTTAAAAATTTTTTTCGAGGGTGCTGCTCCCGAACCCCCGCCTTAAATGTGCAGACATAAAAAAAAATTCTGAGTCCGCCACTGCCAGTGGTGAGGGAAAGGGGTGCGAATGAACCGATGAGGAGAGAGAGGGAGAACCAGAAGAGGATGTATTTGAAGGGTTTAGATTGGAAGAAGAAGAGAGTGAGTGCGAAGATAAGGGAAGAGAGAGAAATGGTGACGAAGATGAATGGCTTGGTAGGCTTGTGGTGATGCAATCTGATTGTGTGTGTGCTCCTGACTCAAACATGAACCTTGGCCTTGCGACTTCGTCTAAGAACTCCATTTTCAAGAGTATTTTTTTTTTTTTGATAACATTTTCAAGAGTATTTTAGTTGTCAAAATATTGAAGCATGATTATTTATAGGGAAAGGTTATACTTACAACTATATCTTAATTGTTGATTTTCGTCAATCAACGATTGTCATTTATTGTGAATTAATAAATTTGATTTGCGGAAATCTTAACCGTTGATTGACGGAAATTAATGATTAAGATATGGTTGTAAGAGTTTGTAAATTATTTGGGTTGTAAATATAACTCCTCCCTTATTTATATTATATAAATTATGTAAAATTTTGCCACTGGGTGGAAATCCAAGAATATCAATCCTTGGTATTATTTTATGGATTCTTATTCACAATTTTAATTCCCAGGAATCTTATTTACAGAAATTTTTTAAAAATCCTTATACCGAACGTAGGTAATTAGGATTCCCAATATGAGTTTCTTGAGAATCTAAAATTTATCCATCTACCAAACGGCTCTAAAAGAAAAATAAATAAGTTAGATATAAAAAAGTAGACATAATATTCTATCTCTTTTAGTTCTAACAAATAATAATAATAGTAAAAGTAATTGCTAATATAGTAAAATTCATATAACAAAAAAACTATCAAAATTCTTAAATATCCGTCATTAATTCTTTTAAGGGTAATACTTTTCTTATCTTATATAAGAGAAGTATTATCTCTTACACTCACATTTTTCAAATGGGTCCTATAAATTTTTTTTCTCTCACCTCCAACTTTTTTTATCACTCCTACTTATTACGTAGCCAATCTTCGCCGTATATTAAAGCTTGAATGGTATCTTCAACCAAGTTAGAACGATAGACATTAATAACTCTTCATCCAGCACTAAATGTTGATTCTGATGATACTGTAGAGATTGATACAGATTTTATGCCATTCTCAACGATAATATTGGTGAGGGAACGAATCTAAGTCCTTCCACCACCTACTTAGCTCACATGCACCTGCTGAACTATCACCATTTGGTACTACTATGAATAATATTATTTATTTAAAATAAATAATATGATATATGCCGACTTGTAGGCTTATAGGCCCGGCATGTAAAAAAAAGCTTATCACCTATTTTCTAAATAGGCTTCTTTATAAGTCCGAGTCTGTTCTATTTGACTATATGTAATAATCCAAGCCCGACCTGATATAGGCTAGGCCGTAAGCCCCTGTAGATTGGCCCGACCCACTTTCGCCTCTAGTCAAGAGGATTATGCTCTTCCAACGAAAGACGAATATATAAAATGAAATATTGTTAAATCTAAACAATTAAGTTGGTTGATTTCTGTTTAGAAGGATATTTTGACTTCGATGTAAGATTAAAAAGTCTAATTTTTTATTTGTGGTCACTTTCTGTTCATTTAATGACTATAATTTATTAAAAATTAATTAATTTATATAACTCAATAAATTATAACTATTAAATCAACAAAAATTAACAAATGAGATAGAGGATAAGAGTTCTTAATCTTACATTGAAATTAAATTATTAAATAATACAATCGAACATTTAGAAATTCTCCAAGAAATGTTTATGCGTTCGCCATTTTACACTTTTATTCTTTTAAATGATTCAAATCATGTAATTGAGGACTTGCATCTGTTTGATAACAGGCCAAAACTCGTAATGAAAAAACTTCCAAAACCACATGCCTCCTCAAAGACTAGCATCTGATCAAGAAATGTTATGAATCGTACATGATTAATTGTTAGGTGATTTAGGTTAAAACAATTCCTCTCGCCCATTATAACAAAATATATAACACTTAAACTAATATTATTAAAAAAATGTAATTACAAGAAACTAATAGTGACAATCGATATAATTGAAATAGTACACATTCAAATGTATAAAGAAAAAAAAAATCATCGGTACCCCTAATGACCACCATCCATTTTTTGATCCTACCCCTTTTTATTGTTCACATCGTTAATGTTAATGAGGGGAAATTTTTGGTACTTCGAAAAGAAGCAAAATTTGATAGCAAGAATTTTTTTTGTTTCATTAAGTGTATATCACTTTAAATATGCAAACCATTATCTCTCCCCTTATTTTTTTAAATTATATATATATATATATATATATATATATATATATATATATATATATATATATATATATATAAAGTAATGCATTTTCGATAGTGCAAACTACAGAACAAGAAATTTGTCGTTCTTGATTATCTCGTCAATGTGGGGTACACTATAGGGAATGCTGTATGTACACATAACATTTACCGAATAACAGTGACGCTGTTTCGAAACGAAGAAGTTGAAACTACACTTCAAAAACTAAAGATTTGGCAATTTGGATAATTATCCCTCAAGGGAGAATGACCATAACACATAAGTAAAAAAAAAAACACATTGAGGAATGGGAGATACACAAATGCCTTTCATTTTTTTTTTTTCTGGTTTTTGTTTCTGTTTTTTTGTTTCTGTTTACATTTCCACGAGAACCTGAGAGATCACTTGTTTACAATTCCAAATAAGACCTATACAGACAAAGAATAAGTTCGTACTTTTTTTTTTCTTTTTGTTTGATTCTTTCTTTTCTACCCTCTGGGGATTCTTCAATTGTACCTACTCCAACTAAACCTCCACTGCATTTATGCAGATTCTGGGGAGGAGATCTTGCTTTTTTCTGAACGGGTTGTGTCCAGTCCCAACATTGAATGAACCGACCCTTTCCAGTTCAGCATTCTCTTAGTATGTCAAGATGAAAAATAAAAATTAGCTGCTCTGGCTCTTTGAACCAATGAACAACTTCGAATATTATTACAATAGCTATGTTATAGACAACTTCATTTAATCTGTTGAGCTCGTTTTTGGGAGAACCAGATTTTGAAGACGACTGAGACGAGACATTAGCTGTGAGAATGATGGCCGCAAGTGTGGCTCCCTGCATCAAAATCAACCCAACTAAAATCAAACAAATAGAAAAGAACTAGCAGCACCAATATAGCTTTGAATAAGATTATTTCTTTTCTTTTCTTTTCGTGGGGTGCAAGTTCTAAATAAGATTCTAGATCCTATAGTTTTCATCTATTTGGATTCTTATCCTTATTGCTTTTTCTTCTCTCTTTTTTTTTTTTTTGGGGGGGGGGGGGGGGGGCAATCAGTTCAAATTCTCCAAATCTGAAAAAAACCGGAGATTATTTGTATTCCTCAGAAACCCCCGCCCTTTTACCACTAAACTATACCCGCTACAATACAATTATTGTATATAATGGGAGCTTTTGTCGAACTGGGGAGTTGAATACCTCATTCAAGAATTGTTTTTGATCAATCCGGAGGAATCAATAGAAAAGGCTCGTAGATAATTATAAAATAATATCCTTCCGAATGGGATAAGGTTAATAATAGATTTCCGAGAGAGATAGGTAGAAGAAACTTCCACCCAAGATTTAATAATTGATCCATTCTTAGCTCAAATATTTTCACTCATTTAGGTTTTGGTCCCTCCTGTCTACTGTTAAGATAATGCCCCTATACTTTAAACTCATTGGGTTTAATTCTTATAGTTTATACTCATTAAGGTCATAACCAATGATAGACAAATCAAAGGTGAAAAGAGATGAAAAAGAAAAAATATTGAAATATAGGATGAGAAAAAAATAACCGTTGATTTTCTATCAACAATTAAGAACCTTTCACATGACCTAGTTATGTGAAATCACACATGAGATGATCTACTTCCAATAAAAAATTAGTGCCAAGAATATGACTTCTTTCAAGTACCAGCTCTTCAAGTTTGTACAAGTGGAAATCTGCCCTCAATTTTTTTAACATCAAATGAGGATCAAGAATATGGATTCTTTCAAGTACCAGCTCATCAAGTATTGTGAATCTACTGATCCACATTCTAATGTCATGAAAGGGATGGCAAACATGGTTGCTACACTTATTTCAAAACGTCCTTCAATGTTCATAATGCAAGATGATAAAGTAACAATCAGAAAACGTAAGTGAAGAAGTAGAACTTACATTTGCCAGCAATCACGTATTATTTGTGCAACTACTGGATCAACATCTTCTGGAATTTCAAGCCGTTTATTTTGGAATCCAACAGCTCCAACAACCTGCATTGGGTTCAAACCTTTCCATGGGATTCTTATAGTAGTCAATTCCCACAAGATCACACCAAAACTATAAACATCGCACCTGCATGCAAATATCAGCTATTACATCCTGAACTTTTATACCCGCCTTTCCATGAAGCAGATACAAATTCAGAATTAACTTACTTCTCATTAGCTGGCTCATTTCTTAAGACTTCTGGTGCCATCCACTCAGGCTGCAGGCAAAAGAAATATTTAGGTTTTTTTTTTTTTCACAAAATCTATATATCATACAAAGAAACCAGCTATAATAGTAATCTATATCACTGAGAAAGAATTAAGGCGTAACAGCGGAATTTTAAAAAATCTTTATCTGTAAAGAATTACCGTTCCAGCACAAGACTTTGATGACAAAAAAGTATGGTGCTTCATCCGTGACATACCAAAATCACAGACCTGTGAAAAGAAAAATGAGAGAAAATAATAACAATAATAATAATTTATCTACCTTTAATAGTAGATAAAAAGGATGAATGTCACAAAAATGTGAAGGCATGACAATGCAAAGAAGAGAAAAGCATTATTTTTCATCAATCTTTAATTGGAATGAATGGTAAAGGTAATCAATGTAAAAAAGTTCTATGTTTATCACTTGCAGGAGTTAAAAGTGGAATAAATAATTTACTGACAATTCCTTAATGATTTTGACACAAACAGCTAAAGAGAGTCATTTTGTTGCAATGTGGAGACATACCAAACATAAAAACGTACTTGCCATGTCAGACACATTTTATTTATCAGTATTAAGATGTTAAACTTTATTGTTTGACACCAATCTAATGCCATATTAAGCACTAATTGAAAAGGTTTTAACATGCCCCAAACATAGCCTACAGAAGTCTACTACACATTTCTGAGAGAAAACTTAATTCAAAATACAAGATTAGTTAATGGTTACATGTTTATATGATGGGTTCATTTTTTCTGAAGTGAATGCAGATAAATTATCTACATTTACTGTAAAATCATTAAAGCCTTATGATACACATTGTAATGGGAACATATAGAGAATTTCGCAGGATTAACACAACATTCATTCTTATCAATTATTCAGGGGATTAATGTTTCTTATGTTGTAGGAGACAATTTCATCTCCTATATATACATAAAAGTGTGTGGGGCCATGTGAAGAGAAGAGAGAGAAAAATAAAATATGAACCTCACACACTTTTTTATGCATGTAGGAGATAAATAATTTATCTCCTACAATAGAGAAACATTATTCCCATTATTCAGTGGTGAAATCATTTAACAATTACTATAACTTCTACTATTCTTTCACAAACTATTTTTCATAAGTTGGTTGAGTGAGTGTGTGCATAAAAATAATCTGCATATACAAGTTTATTAGTAAAAATCTATCACCAATTTATTGGACCTATAATCGACTGATATTTCTTCAATTTTAACATTTGTTCGGCAGAATAAATTTGTTAATGATGGAGAGAAAACATATCCACTCTTCTTTTATTTCCTTCAGTTAACTCCTTACGAGCAAGCATAATTGTAGATTTTCTCTCTTCTAGCAATCAATAGATATGCCTTTTATTTTCAGCTTTGTGAAGCAAATTCCCCTGACAAATAATTCAAATATACCTTAACAACCCAATGCTTGTCAACAAGAAGATTTGGAGACTTTAAATCTCGATGGACAATGGGAGGATGGCTTGTGTGCAAGTAATTCATTCCCTTAGCCTGATAAGAGTATAGTAAATTCACATTAATAAAGGAGAGAGAGAAATAATATATTAAGTTAAAAATGAGGATAATTTTTGGGGTACTTGGTGAGAATGGGGTGACCCTCGATTTTGGAGCTCTTTTTGATGGTTCAGTATAAAGGTATTGACAAGAATAAGTAGGCTAAGATTTTGTGGCAATACAATGTTTATACAGTTATTTTGTTAGAGAGCAATGCTCTCATTTTTAAGGAAGTCTCGGATCCTCTAAACTTATTTTGGGATAGAATTATATTTATGGCCATATTTGGTATTAAGCTCATGGCTTTCAAGCAGGACGCTCACACTAACATGGAAAGAGATTGGACAGCCTTGCTACATTGTTGTGTCTTTACATTTGTTTTTGTTGTATCTAACCTTTTCTGTTCTGGAGAATATCTTATACTCAGCCTAGTGTTTTACCTCTTTTCTTTCTAATAAATTCCTTTTTTCTACCACCAAAATAGAAAAAATTGAGGATAAGTATTTGTAACTCATACCACATCAAGAGCCATACGCAACCGCCTCTTCTCATCAAGTCGAAGATTGGGACGATGCAACAGCCTATATAAGCTGCCTCTGTATACAAAGAGAGAAATATACTTTTACGAGCAAAACAGTAATATAAAGAAATTAATTAATCAACTGATTTGGTAAGGGCCTAAGTTGTATGTTGGCAATATGTTGGAAAACAACATCAATAAAACAAAATCCATGGTACAGAAACAATAAAAAAAAACTTCATATAAACATAAACAATGAGTATATCCAAGAAAATCACGAAAAGAAAAGTCCATATCATTCTCATCCTTCACACAGTCTCCCTACCAACAAATGTAACTTCAAGCATAAAAAAAAGGCTAACCTTGGAAGAAACTCTGTCAAAATAGAGAAGTGTGGGGCACGAGTTATTGCTCCCATGAAGAGCACAACATTAGGATGCCGCATTCTTAACATGATCTCAATCTGCAAAAAACAATGTATGGGCATGAATCTTATATGTGCATATGAATGCGTTATACATGTGCAGACAGTTGCTTACTTCAGACTTGAACTGAGCTAGTGCATCACCAGAGAAATCTTGGTTTAGAAACTTCTTCACAGCAACTTCCTGTCATGCAGCCCATTCATACAAAAATTACCAAAACCAGTACAGAAAAATACTACTTAGTACTTCTATAATTGAATCAAATTTGTACCAAGAGATCTTCAAATGGACACAAGCAACAATAGTTCCAACACCAAATCAAGATGACATAGACAGAACCCAGAAGAGATAAAATGGCTACATGGGTCGATTCATAGTAGAAGGGTGAAAAAAAAAAAAAACGTGCATGTTCATCCTTATTTCATTTTCTAATAAAAGCCGCTTATAAAATATCTAAAGACAGCCATACAGAAAGGAGCAAGTTCAAAGACCTGCACTAAGCCAAGTTATCTCAAATCAGGTGTATACTGGACTCTCTCTGTCCCCAAAGAATCTGAATATTGATAGATCTTGATTTCAACAATGGCTAACAGAAAAGGAGTTGATTATTTACCAGTTGCTGAGGCAAGCAATTTCACTTCATAAAGTAGTATCACATTTTTACAATTTCTTAATCACTTTTATGAGCACTTAGACTAGGTTAACATAACATTACTTGTGTGTCCTCGAGAGCATGGCATTACAAATTCTACAGAAGTGTGCATTTCACAGACATTCTGGATTCTTTCTTCACAAAATTACTTATGGTAACAGACTCAATTTTGAGAAATTGAAAACAATGCAAGTTAAAATATACAAGAATATAGTCATAATATGACATGAAACAAGATATGTGATAAATTTGAGAAAGAATTAACTACAAATATTATTATGCATTTAAAAAGTCATGCATAAACCAGAATTATGAAGTCATGTAGTAGTTATCTGAAAATTTTAATATTAAGTAATTCAAATAACTTTTAAATAATATGAAAATTGATTTACTGAAGATGATGACACATAAGTGAGTGGACTTACAGTGCCATTGCAATCAGCATGATAAACTTCACCATAAGAACCTACAGGGACAGTTGTACTAGGTTAGTCGCAAGATTACATCATAGAGACAAGCAGCATATTTCCAACTAGCTTGTACTAGATCTCTATTTTCGAAATCTATTATATCAAATAGCAACATCTATTATTCCAATTCTACAGGAAGTAGCAAAGAACTATAAGCTAATCATAAGTTGCTAATTAACTTATTAAAAGATATTTTTACATGTAAAACCTTGTATATTTATGTAACTTTAAATCCAAAAAATTGCATTCAAAGCCAGAGAATACACTTACCAATACCAATACGCTCACCAATACGAAGATCCTCCCATTGAATTTCCCATTCTGTGCCTTCACCAAGTACTGGGTTTACTTCCTTGCTTTTACCATCAAATAGGTTACAATCTCCATTGACTGTCTCATTTATTTGAATTGCTGAATCTTTCTCCAATTCAATGTCATTAGATTGCTCTAAACCATCATCTCTATCAGAAACAGTTACAAACCAATTCCTTGTATTATCACTCTGTGAAGAATTACAAAAACTAATGGCATCTGTATGAAATTCTTTTCGCTGTTCAGCTAACTGGTCAGCAGATTGACACAACCTAGTATCGCTCCCAGAGCCCACCCCTTGAGAGGGCTTGAGAGACTTCTTATAGTTTAGTAACAACCTATTTGGGTCAGCTTGAACAGTATCAACAAAAAAAATTTCATTTGCTTTATCTACACCCCTATCTCGGGGATTCATATCTGAAAATAGATCAGGAGGAGGTAATGCTCCACTCTCTACTAGAACAGTGTGCAGTTTTTGAGCAAATTCTGGGTGCTTAGTTGCACTGAGAACATACTCAGAGACATCTTTTACATGCATCATTTCTGCAGGTGATGGTTCTGTATGTGATGAGCATTCATATGCCTCTGTATGTTTAAATCTCGCTGTTTCATTCACATCAACATAATTTATTTCATCTGGTTTTGTTTGACTGCCCATATCTAATAGTTCTTCTGTCTGGACCATCCCCATTGTTGAAATTCTACCATAATCAGACAAGACTCCCGGCACACCAGTTGCATCATCAAGCATCGCATGCGTGTTGTTAGGTAGTCCTACAATCTCTGCACAACCCCTAACAGCAAAACCGTAGTTTTGGAGTTGACTGCTGGGTACCTCAGCAGGAATAAGAATGCCGGGAGCACCCATCATATCAATAATGTATTCACTGCATCCGTACAAACAAATTAATAACAGCACTCAAAAATGTTCCAACATACTGCAAAGACCAGCACTGTTTGTTTTATTAAAAAGCATGCACCAAATATTATAGGAGCATAATGCTAAGAGATGTAAAAAAATTTGTTTGTGGTCCAATTTCTTTGAAAGAAATCAAATAGAGCAACTTAAAGACATTAGAGCATTGAAATAAGTATAAATTGCAATTAATGTACTTCAATGATCTATCCACCAGTCTGTAATAAATTAAAAGACCGTTCCCTTACCGCCTAAATTACATTCACCACAACATACTATACTTCATTTAATAATGTTATATACTTGTTAACTTCATAAAGGTGGACCAACTTCTACATCTCAAAGGAGAGGCACAGTTTTCCAAATCATCAGAAACACAAAATGGAAAATGTGAAATAAAATTGCTTTTGGCAACCCTGCCTCTGGTGTCTGGACCACTATGATGATGAAGTATAATATAGAGTTTCTAACTCAAGAGAACACAAACCAACCGCCATCAATTACATCAAAGGCAGATTAAAAGTGTCCATTGAATTCAACTCCCTTAAAAGCAATGTTAAAAAAGGGAATTGACATTCCACCATAAGATAAATACCTTCCATCATCAGCTTTAATCAAATTCACAGCCCCATCGTCAGTTCCTGTGTAATAGCTCCCTTTTACTAGCATGCAGGGAATATTAATCCTATCAGCAAGTACCTAAGCACATGAAGAATGAAATTGGCGTTAGTTTATATCAAATAAATTGCGTGAGCATTACCAACTTCAAAATTGAAGGTAACATATGATGGAACTCAAATTTATGACATTGATTTTATTGAATCAATAGAGGCATAGCCTCTTTTTACAAACACTAATACAGAAAAGACCCCAGCTCACCCTTAGAAGCAATAAACCTAGGCTCCAAGAGATCCTCAATTCTCCAATATTCACTCAATACATGCCTCCCTCACTCCACACATTCCCTCTTCTTTTATCCCTTCCTCTAAGAATATTCTAGTAGAATTCCCTAACTAACTAACTCATTCACCACTTTCAGGCCCACCCATCAATACTCCCCCTCCAAAACTCACCTTGTCCTCAAGGTGAAGGAAGAGAACAAATAATGTGAGAGAACAATGTGAGAGAACTTCCACTTGGGTCCCATTCTTTGTTGCATATAGACCCTCTCTCACCTAGAAGCAACACATAGCTGTGGACTTCAGCAGACACGGTCAGGAGAGAAAGGGGCTTTGCATCTGAAGCACAAATAGCGTTTTCTCCAGTCGTTCAGCTCTTCTCGAGTCAGCTGCCTGAAAAGCAACCCTCGATGGCCATTTTTGCCGCCATTCGCTGTCGCCGTGGTGGCCCTGCCTTGCACCGCCACTCCCACACCTTAATGGCTGCCTCCTTGTTCACGATTAGGGTTACTGCTTCCAATACTTGCAACTGATGAGAGAATAGGTCCATCAGCTTGAGTCCCCACTCTTTGGGTCGTGATGTTTGAGCCGGCTCTCCCTAGCCTCACATTATTATTCAGCCTAGTCCATATATCCCTATTGGTTAAAGCAAGTCACCCAAACTGCCCATTATTGTTGGTTCCGGATCCGGTCTCACTTCGGCCCATCATTGGTCCAACCTGACCCAGTACTTTCTCACTCTCCTCTCCCCTTAGCGCCATCATCATCGTCTCTTCCAAATCCTCAACGAGGTGCAGGTGCTCCTCTGCTTCTATAGTTTCTGGTTTTGAATCACACCCATTGATGGATAAATCGTGGAAATCTTTGCTAACCCCTTTGGCAAATCGTGAGAACCTTATTTGTCTCCCTCTTCTTCCTCTTGATCTTCTTCTTCTTCTTCTCCAATTTCCTCTTCTCATTCTGCTTCTAATTTTTCTTCTTCCTCTCCTTCTCGATTTCTTTCGCTTCTTCTTTTGCATTTCCATTTGTTCCTTCTCCTTCGTCTTTTGCGTGTCCCCCTATTTCTTTTTCTTTTTTCCCTTCTTTTTTTTTTCTTTATCTGCTTCAATTTTTTCCTCTTCTTAGGCAAGTTCTTCTGCAACATCATCTTTGTCAGTTTCTTCTTCTTTGTTTTCTTGGATTTTTTTTTCTGACTGAATATTGTGTCCAAGATTGTTCTTCTTCCTGATTTCAAATCTTCGTGTCTCCATATTCTCTATTGCCTCATCTAACACCTTCACCATTTTTTTCAAAATTTCCTTGAACTCTGAATTGCTGATTCCTTCCATGGCTGTCATCTCTTCATAAATCTGGACCAGAAGCACCTCCGGATCGAAAATACTCTGATACCAAATTGATGGAACCGAAATTTATAACACTGATTTTACTGAATCAATGGAGGCATAGCCTCATTTTACAAACACTAATACAAGAACAATTCACTAAAAGACCACAGCTCACCCTTAGAACCAACAAACCTAGGCTCCAACAGATCCCCAATATTCACTCACTACATGCCTCCCTCACTCCACACATCTCCTCCCGATTTATCCCATCCTCTAAGAACATTCTAGAAGAATTCCCTAACTAACTAACTAACTAACTCACTCGCCACTTTCAGGTCCATCGACATACAAATAAATGCTTTCTGCTAAAGAGAGATAAAGGAAGTGCATTTCAGTTTTTGTATATTGCTTGTTTAATAAAATGTGAATTCTGCCGTTAAACATATAATAAGCATCATAAAGATATAATCATACCATATGGAGGATCCATTTTAATGACAATACATGTAGAACAGAACAAATAAAATGAGCCACAAAACTCCAAGACATAAAATAAGAAAAAAAAGTTTTCCACATATAATTGGATGACATTTAAAAATTGCACAGAAGCAGTTGTCTCAACTGTCAAATGTTCAAATTTTATGTGCGAATCTCTTAATTAAAAAATTGAGAAAATCTTACCTTAAAAAGTAGGGCTCGGTGACGCGAAAGTCCAACATCGAGACAGCCAAGGGGAAGGACAGTGGTTCTTAAAGAATCTCGTAATTCACGACTCCTCATAGCCCACCTTTTGGTGATTTTTTCAGCATTACCAACTGGTCCACCCATTCTATTAACAACAATATCAGCAAGTTTCTGAAGTAAGCCACTCAACATTAGTCCTAGTTCAGAAACAGAACACTCATTGAACAAAGCACATGCTTTTTTCTCCAGCAGATTCAGTTCCATATCCACTACACGGTTCACCAAAATCACTTCACAATCAACATTCCCTGAGACAGGCGTAGTTTGCAGATCCACCAACAACGGCATCTTTCCTCGTTCAATCAAATTGGAGGTAATCCCATAAACATCATAAAATCCATCCATCACTTTCTCATCATAAGCAATGACATTGTAGTTCTGCCAGATATAAAACACAAACTGCTTACAATCCATATTTCAATGACAATTATAAGGAAAAAAAAAAAAAACTCATCATCATTACCAATGTCAAATGTCTATAAATAGCAAGATGCCGAAATTAATTGAACATCCAAAACAGATATAAATATAATCCTTTTAATTTTTTTTTAAATATCAGTCTCATTCAATTACGAGAAAATAAAAAACCCAAAGTATAATTCGAACATTGATGGAACTAACTGAGTACTGAACATGGGAAAAATGAAAATTCCCAATATAGAAAAACTTTACCCCCAAACAATGAATAATAATAATAATTAAGAAATAGATACCCTATAACGAAGGGATTGAAACTGAACAAGGGCTTTGGTGTCAGTGAGAGAAGCAGAATAACCGAGGCTCATCTGTTTGGCGGCATCGATCTGTGCAGATTCAGCTAGTTCGTGGAGATCGGGATCAGAAGCGCTGATTGCCAGAGCCAACTGCATCTGAAACTCTTCTTCCTGCAACAGATTGAAATCAACGACACCCTCGTTGGTGCTACCGTTGTCGTTTTCCGACTCAACGACAGGGTTCGGATCCGAAACGACGACGGTTGGAGTAGACGGCGAGGGAAGAGAGGAAGAAGAAGAAGGAGGAGTGTGTGTGAGAGGATCAGCGTGAGGCAATATGTGATTGTGATTGATTGTAGCAGCGCCACCACCGATGTGAAGCTTTCTGAGTAGATGCTTCATTTTTGGCATGGATCATGAACAAACCTCGATGAATGAATGATGAATCAAGATTCTTCTCAGATTTTGCACCTTGATTCGATTCAATTCAATTCAATTCAATTAACCGCTCAGGGTTTCGTTTCATTTCATTCCCTCCAATGCCCTCACTTTCTCTGTCTGTGCCTTCTACTACTGTTTCTTTCTTCTTTTTTCTTCTTTTTTTGTTTTCTCTCTTTTCGAAACTATTAGTTAATTATTATATTTTAAATCAATTTAATTCTTAATCAGGCTTGAGTTGAGGGTTTTTAATGTTTTATTATGAATCTGTAGTAATACGCGTTGTTGCATTTTAAAGAAGGGCTGCGTTCAATCTTAACCGTTGGATTCATTGACCTAAAGCTTTGTCATCCAACAGCTATTACTGAGATGAAAGTCAAAGCGTGTGAATCACTCTCTCGCCTCGCCTTAAGAAACCACAACCACGAATAACTAACTGTATTCGGATTGATTATGAACCATCCTACGTGTTTTTGCCTTTTTGGAATGAATATGATAAGCAAGAGTTAAAAAACTCATTCAAGTATAATTAATGCCACGCGTTATTTATTTATGAGTTTTTTCTTCTCATTTCGTGCAGTTTTTCCATATAATCGGTTCATCAATTATTCACGTAGTCTTATTTGAGTTGAATCGAATATATGAACATCAAAACTCCCCTTATCAAATTTTTGGATAACTAATGATGCAATTTTATTATTACGGTCAGAGGGATCAAAAAAATGCTAATTCATATAGAGCCATCGAATCGGCCCAACCAGCAACCAGAGCTGTATGCATTATATGAACAGAAAGTGGGGTTGAAAAATTAAAAAATTAGAGTGATAAAGACTATTATAACCCTGAAATAAATTAAAATTACAAAAATACCATGATTTCCGTCCCAAAACGACGTTGTTTTGATGAACATTAGATAAAGTTATCTAAAGTAACATCAGAAAAAACAAACCCTAATACATATAATTTTACTTAAAATGACATAAATTTGTATTATTTTAAAATAATAAATATTTTTTTCAAAAACTAAATAACATTAGAATTATTTCAGCTTTTCAATTCAGTAATCAAATCTGAAATTTTATGGCAGCGTTTTTTATCCTATCCATTGAGCCATCACTTATTTGCAAGAAGACCTTGCTAATGTCATTAGATTCCACACTTTCTTTTTTTAATAATATTCCAATTAATAAGTTGCAAGAATACCTATTTGGATTGATACGACAGGATTCAATTTGTTTATAATGATAATTATGTGAGTAAGCTTAAATTGATAAATAAATGAGGTTGAATATTAATTTTATAACTGCGGGTCAATAAACATGCAATATTAAAGAACTTTTTAGGATATTTTATCTCTGTTTTATAACTATGATTGCCATGGCAACTAATTTTGTGTAAAGAACCTTGGGATACATCACTCCAAAAGCTAGCTCAAAGAATGAAAGCGTCCAAGGCCTTATATAAAGGCCATATTAGTTGCCCACACAATCAATGTGGGACTATATATCTCAACACGTCCCCTCGCGCAAGAGCCCTTCGGGCTAGAAGCGTGGAATTGCAAGTAAGAATGGTGAATGGATATGGTTATTTTCTACAGTCAAGGGGATCAATCTTCAATTCACAGAATGGCTAAAGCTTGGAAATCCTCTATCTTCGTGCATTGGCCCACTGCCTATTGTGATTCCCAGGTTTGAAATGTGAATTTCGTTGGCCACCCCCTTGCTTGGGGAGATCATTTATTTCTAGAACTTGTATTGTCCTCTGCCTCTTAGCATTTTCAACTTGTTGATAACGCTCATGAAGTTTCCTCTTAGTGGCCTCTAGCTTTACTTGGACTGCAGCTTCATCTGAAAACTTGGATTTATCTTTCTGAATCATGGGAGGCTTCTTTGGGATTGTATTGTTCTCTATTTTTGGCTGCATCTTTGGCTCCATATTGCTTTTTCGCTGCATAGTTGATTTTGGGGGTCTGAGAGGGCCATTATCAGCAGTTTCTGGTTTATTTAGCCTCACAGCAACCTCCTTTTTCCTTGGTTGCTGACTCTTACTGTCCTTGGCAGTGATGGATGGCTCAATGGAAGCCTCAGATTTCCTCCTTTCTACAACTTGACTGTCCAAAGCTGGCTTTCTCCCATTTTCACAGTTTCTGTTGAATTGTCCACTCTGTCGAGGATTTCCATAATCATCCACGCCATCGATTTTGGGAGTGTGAAAGGGTGGATCTGGCAGTATCTGGGGACCATGAAGAGGTTGATGATCATGGGGGTTTAAAGAGGGGTTTTTAGAGAGATGGGCTTGCACTTGAAGCAGGGGCAAGTGAAGAGAGCAAGGTAAACAGCAGCAGAGATGGCCGTGGAGAGATGCATGTGAATCATGTTAGCAGTTATAGCTTTGGGGAAGCTGAGGCATTAACTGATGAGATTGAAAAAGAGTTTCAGCATGTTGGGGAGGTTTTGAGGATCCGAAACGTTCTGCTTAACTTTAAAGGAGAGTCCGACTCTGTGTTATTTGAGTCATTGAGGAGGCTCCAGCTGATGGAACTCACTGTGGATCTTCTAGAGGCAACTGAGATTGGAAAGACTGTCAATCCTCTCCGAAAGCATGGATCAAAGGATATTAGTCAACTCGCACCACTCATCTACCATTTCTTTCCAGCAATACTCTTATTGATTGCTGGAAAGAGTTCGTGCGAGTTGACTAATATCCTTTGATCCATGCTTTCGGAGAGGATTGACAGCCTTTCCAATCTCAGTTGCCTCTAGAAGGATCCACTGTGAGTTCCATCAGCTGGAGCCTCCCCAATGACTCAAAAAACACAGAGTAAGACTCTTCTTTAAAGTTAAGCAGAACGTTTCGGATCCTCAAAACCTCCCCAACATGCTGAAACTCTTCTTCAATCTCATCACTTAATGCCTCAGCTTCCCCAAAGCTATAATTGCTAACATGATTCACATGCATCTCTCCACGGCCATCTCTGCTGCTGTTGACCTTACTCTCTTCAATTGCCCTTGCTTCAAGGGCAAGCCCATCTCTCTTAAAACCCCTCTTGAAACCCCCATGATCATCAACCTCTTCATGATCCCCAGATACTGCCAGATCCACCTTTTCACACCCCTAAAATCGATGGCATGGATGATTATGGAAATCCTCGACAGAGTGGACAATTCAACAGAAACTGTGAAAATGGGAGAAAGCCAGCTTTGGACAGTCAAGTTGTAGAAAGGAGGAAATCTGAGGCTTCCATTGAGCCATCCATCACTGCCAAGGACAGTAAGAGTCAGCAACAAAGGAAAAATGAGGTTGCTGTGAGGCTAAATAAACCAGAAACTGCTGATAATGGCCCTGTCAGACCCCCAAAATAAACTATGCAGCGAAAAAGCAATATGGAGCCAAAGATGCAGCCAAAAATAGAGAACAATACAATCCCAAAGAAACCTCCCATGATTCAGAAAGATAAATCCAATATTTCAGATGAAGCTGCAGTCCAAGTAAATCTAGAGGCCACTAAGAGGAAACTTCATGAGCGTTATCAACAAGTTGAAAATGCTAAGAGGCAGAGGACAATACAAGTTCTAGAAATAAATGGCCTCTAGCTTTACTTGGACTGCAACTTCATCTGAAAACTTGGATTTATCTTTCTGAATCATAGGAGGCTTCTTTGGGATTGTATTGTTCTCTATTTTTGGCTGCATCTTTGGCTCCGTATTGCTTTTTCGCTGCATAGTTGATTTTGGGGGTCTGACAGGGCCATTATCAGCAGTTTCTGGTTTATTTAGCCTCACAGCAACCTTATTTTTCCTTGGTTGCTGACTCTTACTGTCCTTGGCAGTGATGGATGGCTCAATGGAAGCCTCAGATTTCCTCCTTTCTACAACTTGACTGTCCAAAGCTGGCTTTCTCCCATTTTCACAGTTTCTGTTGAATTGTCCACTCTGTCGAGGATTTCCATAATCATCCATGCCATCGATTTTGGGGGTGTGAAAGGGTGGATCTGGAAGTATCTGGGGATCATGAAGAGGTTGATGATCATGGGGGTTTCAAGAGGGGTTTTTAGAGAGATGAGCTTGCCCTTGAAGCAGGGGCAAGTGAAGGGAGCAAGGTCAACAGCAGCAGAGATGGCCGTGGAGAGATGCATGTGAATCATGTTAGCAATTATAGCTTTGGGGAAGCTGAGACATTAACTGATGAGATTGAAAAAGAGTTTCAGCATGTTGGGGAGGTTTTGAGGATCCGAAACGTTCTGCTTAACTTTAAAGAAGAGTCCGACTCTGTGTTATTTGAGTCATTGAGGAGGCTCCAGCTGAAGGAACTCACTGTGGATCCTTCTAGAGGCAACTGAGATTGGAAAGACTGTCAATCCTCTCCGAAAGCATGGATCAAAGGATATTAGTCAACTCGCACCACTCATCGACCATTTCTTTCCAGCAATACTCTTATTGATTGCTGGAAAGAGTCCGTGCGAGTTGACTAATATCCTTTGATCCATGCTTTCGGAGAGGATTGACAGCCTTTCCAATCTCAGTTGCCTCTAGAAGGATCCACAGTGAGTTCCTTCAGCTGGAGCCTCCTCAATGACTCAAATAACACAGAGTCGGACTCTTCTTTAAAGTTAAGCAGAACGTTTCGGATCCTCAAAACCTCCCCAACATGCTGAAACTCTTTTTCAATCTCATCAGTTAATGTCTCAGCTTCCCCAAAGCTATAATTGCTAACATGATTCACATGCATCTCTCCACGGCCATCTCTGCTGCTGTTGACCTTGCTCCCTTCACTTGCCCCTGCTTCAAGGGCAAGCTCATCTCTCTAAAAACCCCTCTTGAAACCCCCATGATCATCAACCTCTTCATGATCCCCAGATACTTCCAGATCCACCCTTTCACACCCCCAAAATCGATGGCATGGATGATTATGGAAATCCTCGACAGAGTGGACAATTCAACAGAAACTGTGAAAATGGGAGAAAGCCAGCTTTGGACAGTCAAGTTGTAGAAAGGAGGAAATCTGAGGCTTCCATTGAGCCATCCATCACTGCCAAGGACAGTAAGAGTCAGCAACCAAGGAAAAATGAGGTTGCTGTGAGGCTAAATAAACCAGAAACTGCTGATAATGGCCCTGTCAGACCCCAAAATCAACTATGCATTGAAAAAGCAATATGGAGCCAAAGATGCAGCCAAAAATAGAGAACAATACAATCCCAAAGAAACCTCCCATGATTCAGAAAGATAAATCGAATATTTCAGATGAAGCTGCAGTCCAAGTAAATCTAGAGGCCACTAAGAGGAAACTTCATGAGCGTTATCAACAAGTTGAAAATGCTAAGAGGCAGAGGACAATACAAGTTCTAGAAATAAATGGCCTCTAGCTTTACTTGGACTGCAACTTCATCTGAAAACTTGGATTTATCTTTCTGAATCATAGGAGGCTTCTTTGGGATTGTATTGTTCTCTATTTTTGGCTGCATCTTTGGCTCCGTATTGCTTTTTCGCTGCATAGTTGATTTTGGGGGTCTGACAGGGCCATTATCAGCAGTTTCTGGTTTATTTAGCCTCACAACTAGGGTTGGCAAAACGGGCCAACCCGGCTCGACCCGGCCTAACCCGCATTCAACCCTAAATAAATGGGTCGAGTCGGGTTGGCTCGAAAAAAAAAATGAGCCAGAAAATCCAACCCGGCTCGACCCGAGCCGGGTTAGGGTTGGCTCGCGGGTTGGCTCGATAATCAGCTCGCGGGTTGGCTCGGAAAAAAGCTCACGGGTTGGCTCAAAAAAAGCTCACGAGTTAGCTCGAAATGGTGCCAGGGAGTTGGCTCGCGGGTTGGTTAGCTCGAAATATTGGCTCGCGGGTTGGCTCGCGGATTGACTCGCGAGTTGGCTCAAAAATTTTAATTTTTGTGGTTTGTTCTCCTGTATATAATTATCAAATTATCAACACTGCCAAAACTATTGATTTCCTAATGGATAATGGTGTAAATACAGTAACTAATAAAACATAACCAATAAATTAAGAAATCCCAACATAGCAGTTGACAAACACATTACAAAATAAAAATTGTCCTATGAGTTCCCATGACCAATACAGTACAATAACAAAATATAAACATCCAAAAGTACACCATCATCATTAGATCATCTAAAAAGTTTCATGACCATTAGATCCCCGTGAAGAAGCTAATATATGGGAAATACCATCCTCATCATCATCATCATCTACAAAACACAAACCATAAAATGTAAATAATCAATTAAGGTTACAATGACAAATGAAAAATGAAATTTTAATTGCAGAGAGAATAAATAAATTACCATTGGCAACAAAACCAGCCAACCAATTGCGGGTACATATCAAAGCTTCAACATTCTTTGACAACAACTTATTTCTATATTTGTTAAGCACACGTGATCCAATGCTAAAAGCAGATTCAGATGCCACAGTGGTAATAGGAATGCTTAACAAGTCACGAGCCATTAATGATAGACTCGGAAAATGACAACTATTATCTTTCCACCATTGCAATGCATCTAAACTATTCCAGCTGTCAATAACCATTATAGGCGGCTCCTCTAAATAAACATCAAGTTCAGATTTTCCAGCATTTATTGCTTGGTGTTGAGTGTGCAAGGTCAATTCCTATCATATTTGAGAAGTGCAAAAACATAATAATTTAAGTAAGTAAGTACATGCATAAATAAAGGCGTGAAAATGAATATGATATAACATAATTAAAGCTTTTTGCTAAACATGAACTTACATCCAATATCTCATCATCCCATCCTCTCGATTCGATTGACCCTTGACTTGAAGAGTGGGTGTTATCTTGACTTTGATCAATGGTAGTTGATGAATTAATTTTTACATAATTCTCAAAGAGCTTATACACGTTTGCCTTTATATTTTCCATCTTGTCATCATGTGTGTAAGCATCAATCTTTCTATGACAAAAAGATAATGTAGTAAACTTAATGCGAGGATCAAGAACAGCTCCTAGTGAAAGCACATCACTATAATCTTCCCAATATTTTTGAAACTTATCCATCATCTTATTAGCCATGCTACTTACAACCACATCTTCATCATTACTCATACGAATGAGAACCCGCTGAATTTTCCAAACTTGTAGAAAATACAAGTTAGAAGTAGGATAAGAAGTGCCAAACATCAAATTAGTGATCTCACAAAATGGATGCAAGAACCGACAAAGAATTTCCAACCTATTCCACTCTTCTTCTGAAGGATAATACTTGTAATTTCTATCACTCAATTGGAGAATTGCTAACTCACGCCTGAATTTGAGAGCACGATTAAGCATTTCATAAGTGGAATTCCATCTAGTGGGTACATCTGCTATCAATGCAGTTACAGTTTTCTCACCACCAACTTGTTCAATGCACTCCTTAAATTTGATCATTCTTGATTCTGTGCCTTTTATATATTTAACACTCTCTCTAATCCGAGTCAAGGCATCATTTGCAACTTTTACTCCATCTTGAACAATCAAATTCAATATGTGTGCAGAACAACGCACATGAAAAAATTTCCCATCACATAACAACAATTTTTGCATATTCAATTGGCTTCTCAAACCACCAACCATAGAGTCATTTGCAGATGCATTGTCCAAAGTAATGGTAAAAATCTTCTTCTCTATGCCCCATTCCTTTAACAAACCAAGTATTTTATGAGTCAATTCAAATCCAGTATGAGGAGGAGGCATATGACGGAAGGCAATAATTTTACTATTCAGCTTCCAATTGACATCAATGAAATGGGCAGTTAAGCAAACATAACCCTCAGTATTACAAGATGTCCACAAATCTGAAGTAAAGCATATCCTACTTTGAATGCTACCAAACATCTTTTTCAGCTTCAGCTTGTCTCTCATGTGCAAATTTAAAACATCTTGTTTAAGAGTATTTCTAGAAATGCCAGTCCAATCTGGATTCAAGTAATTATGGAAACGCCTGAACTTTCTATACTCAGCAAAGTTAAAAGGTTGGTCATGTTCAATAACAGCTTCAGCATACATCTCACGTGCTACCTTCATATCTATTTTTATAGCCTTCATTTTACCTTGCATGTCCAATATGACTTGACCAATATATTCATGTTTAATTTGTGTGCATTTATCAATGTGACGGTTTAAAGTAGACGTACCACAAGTCTTACTGTCAATCTTGTACTCTGTCTTGCAACCATTGCATCTTGCCTTTTCATTCCCTTTTTCTCTTATTATTGTGAAATGTTTCCAGCAACGAGCTTGCCTTTTCCTAGCCTTTTTAAAAGCAGGTCCTTCTTCAACTTCTTCCAATTCATCACTTTCTGCATCAACATCATTGCCTTCTTCAAGCATCGCCAAGCTTTCCCTACATCAAAGTTAAATATAAAATTACTATAGCGTGGAAAAGATAATTTAAACTAAAACAGATTTTAAAAAAATTGAAGAATATTAACCTATTTGAATCAGCCATTTCAGAGACTTGAAGTCGAAGATAAGTAAAGGGAAGGATCAATAATGATCTGTCTTCCTCTTTGGTTCCTGACCATATAAACAACTCATCAGCATTGATACAATCCAAGTAGTAGAGAGGGATTTCGGTCACAACAATACCTAATTACAGATCATACAACAGTTAGATTATAGCTAACAACCATATGACAACCATAAGTATCAAGTGACAAAGTCACAACTAGAATATCTAAAATCTTGTCTGAATTAAAGTTCTTCCATATAGACTTTTAAAGCATCAGGTTTGAGCACTTAATGGTATGCAGGGTTGGTGTATAATTGGTCAGCAATTCAAAATATATTTAGTAGTCTAAGCATTTATTTATGAACCAACAAAACGGGTTATGCAGACTGCAGAGCATAATGCATCACAGATCACTAGTACACGATCAATTTAGCCTTTCTTATGCACAAAATTAATTTCTAGGACAGTAGCTACAACATACACAATGGAGAAATGGAATGACATGTCTTAAAACAGAAAATGAATTATTAGGACAGTTGCAACACCATATAAATTAGAGCACTGATAGGTTTATTCCATAATTAAAACAGTAAGGATTTGGGCAAAAAGGATAGCCATAAAACCAAACTTGATAGCTCTTGATTTGACAACAAAATTTATAAATCAAAGCTCTCAGA